AGCCGCGCCGACCGCCGCCGCCGCCGCAGACTTTCTTCAGACGAAAAGTGCATGTTGTTCCGAGAGTTGACTATTGAGTGTCAATTATTCCACACCCGCGCACTCCTCCCTCCACTCCTGTCCCTGACCAGGTTCCAGCCCTCGTCCCTGGGACCTTAAAACACGGGGTCTCTCCCTGCTTCCACCCTCTCGGAACGCTCATATCTGAGATACTTTCAAAATCCACCCAATATACACTCGTATTCGTACCTGGTATATTGATCGGATCAAATAGGGAAAGTAACCTCACCTAACCTAACCTAATCGAACCTAACCTAATCGAACCTAACCTAACCTAACCTAACCTGACCTAACCTAACCTGATCTAACCTAACCTGACCTAACCTAACCTAACCTAGCCTGACCTGACCTGACCTGACCCGACCTAACCTGACCTGACCCGACTTAACCTGACCTGACCCAACCTGACCTAAAAATTGATATTTCAACCTTTTCTGGCGATTTTTGTCATTGCGTATGTAAACCTGGTTAGTTGATTCCCTTTGCTGATCCCCTTGAGACCAATGCTGAATACAATCAACATACCAGGTATTAACGTTCATGGACCTATTCAAGGACTTCAAGTTCAGGTCAAACGGATCTCTGAGAAATTTTTCCAACCGTGTATCCTAAAATTTGAGGTCCAGCTTCCAAAGTTAAGGTCACACATCTAAAGTACCTGGGTACCTCCGTTGACTCCATAAGTTTCAACCGATGACGAAAGTCCTTCAGATGTGTGACCCAAACTTCGGAAGGTGGACCTCAAGCTTTCGGATGCACGATCCGAAAACTGCAGATATCCCAAAGACCTGAATTTTGGGTCTTATGCACGAAGTTTTTTTCTTCGTGGGGTGGAAACGTAATCTTTGTGATGACTTGTGGCAGAATGGTGCGGAAGTCTCGAAATTTCAAATCTTTAAATGTTCAATTTGTTTTCAATGTTTTTCCATCGCAATTTACATTTTTACTGTACTATTTCTCTGCGAATTTGAGTAACCTTACTGTATTGATGCCCCACAATATCATCATCAAACCTAATGGCAAATGACTCGCTCAATCTTTACAGCTTGCCCTAGCTCCTTCCACTTTTCAAAGGGCGTTGTCTAATTTGACGTACCCAATCATGGACTCTGCTTGACTATTTTCAGTTGCTCAAGCGGTGTCTATGATGAATGAAACATGTCGGCTCTCTCTATTGGTTGTACTTTCTGTCATTAAATAAAAAATACATATGTAGCCTCATTGTATATTATGTCTCCCCCAGGATTTCCACGATGGAACTACGTTAAAATTGGATTACATTTTGCAATAAGGAACCACTATTTCTGGCCCACTTTAGAAACAACATACATGCCATTGATGTTCCAATGCAGATATGTGCTTTTATGGAGGAAATAGTGGTTCTTTATTGCAAAATGTAATCCAATTGTATCTCTCTTTCTTTCAGATGATATTTTTGTCTAATATCGATTCATTGCAAATTTATGTTATGAAAGGGTCCATCTACTGTTCGAACGTTACTGTCCGAACTGCCATTGAATGCTTCTTGGCACTGTTAATGAGACGTCTAATACCGCTGGACAACCGTGAAGTGCTATAGCTGTATCAAATTTGTTCGGAAGCGCATACAGCTGAACATCAGGCAAGTAGGCACTACCTTTTTCAGGCTCTTGTTGAGACACTAAGTTTTTCAAATGTGGACAGAGATTTTCCCCCTTGAAAAATATAGCGATTATAGTCATATATCGCCTCAGATCATCTTGGGATTCATCTCGGTATCATAAAGGCAGATAACTCACTGAACTAATTTTTGACAAATGATGGTGATACCCAAATTAATTTTCAACCCTTTGCCACGTAGGGTTTTTTTCATGTATGTAGGCATTTGTTATTTCTTAAATTAATTTTTTTATTGCAGCAACGACCGTGTATGAAACCCAAATACAAAAAGGGCCCACAAGCATACATACATGCCTCGAGACCGGTGTGATCTTTAATCGAGTGGTAAAAATTGCACACAATCTATGGTAACATTTTTAACAATTACTAGCTTCTTCTAAAAGTATGACTACTGTAGGACAACGAAGAGAAGTGCAGAGAGGCGACACACGCTACATGGTGGTGGGGAGGGGGGGGGGGGTACATGAAGGTTTGATCCAAGTTGCCATAGGTCGTTGACGAGACAACTGTGTGCTCCTGTAAGTGCCTGCACGCATCATGCACAGCGCTGCCTAGCGTGATGTACACGCACTATGGCGCATGTCACAGTGATCTAAAATTGCCCCAAGGCCATCGGTCGTGTAAATCAACACTGATGCCGGTTTCCAGAAAAAATTACCCTTGCATTAAGGCTCGGAGAACGCCCCTTCTTACCACTTTGCAAAAAAATCACACTTGCTCCTCTTCAGTAATTCGATCGCACTTGTATTCCGCACAGGGGGTTTTATTAAGCTCAAATTTCCATGGAGGGGCTTCTAACGATGCAATTAATCACCTTTATCAATGCGATAAATAATTGAAATAAATGATTACAGATTATGGCTGCGGTATAATGTAGCTACACGTCGGTGCACTGAAGTGTACGAAATGAAGTGTCAATGGCGTGAAAATTATTTCAAAGCTTATATGTTGCATCCTCCATCATATGAGAGTATGATATTAAGACAACACTTTGCAACAAGGAACCACTTTCTAACTCATTTTAGAAACAAAACTTGTGCCATAAGTTTGTTCCCTTTATGTATGAATGTGTTTATAGATGAGCGAGAAATAGGGGTTACTCGCGGTTATTTGTTGCATAATGAAGTCCGGTCAAAGTCTCTAAGTCCTCGCATTTGTCGAAACATTTTTAGTTAACAAACAGTTTAGAGAACTTCATCGTTAAAGTTGAAATTTTCATGATTTAAATTTGTGATTTTGAATATGGTGACATTTTAACAGAGGAAAGACGCAGGTGATGGGAGGGGGAGGGAGGAGAAATTATATAGTTATGAGGAGTATAAGAATGATCAAATTTTGTTATTCGGTTCGACCTTCCCTCCTCTTTTTCTACCGCAAACGGAGGGAGAAAGTAAAAATGAATATGCAAACATTTTGTATCCAGTTCCTCGTTCCTTAAGAAGTAGAGAAAAAACTAAAAGCGATCTTTTGGCACTTGTACTATTGAACCGATCCCAATTTCGTTGACCAAATGTAAAAATATAACTATTCGAATTTCAGGTAAAGCCCTCAGCATTGATGATGTATCACACACAAAAAAAACTCAAAGGCGGGTGACTATATAAAGTCGGAAATTCGAAGATCGCTCACCTCAACATTAAAAAGCCTCCTTCTTAGGTTAAAAATGTTTGATGAACGAGGGAGATGGGTGGGGGTCATTGAGGGAAAATTTTCGGAGAAATCGCAAAAACATCTTTTTGGTGGAAAATTTCGAGTTATGGGGTGGGGGGAGGGGGGAACCTGAGCCCATGATGCCCCTCCCCCTCCCCCCGCTCGGCTCCTTAAAAAACCAATACATTTCACCATAGGCACTGCGGTAGTCCTCCACTTTCAAGTACATAAGATTTTAATGTTTCAACGAGAAAAATGGGAAGTAAGTAACTCTGAATAGGCGAAAGAATAACATATCAGAAAATGTCAAATGAAAGCACGTTCATTGAACGAATCAGAGGCGGATCCAGCAATTTGGCAACACCGGATTTCCTCCATTTAAACCTATGCTGAATAATCGATTCTTGTTGGAGCACCTAGCCTTCAAAAAATCGATACATTCCTATAGGTTTAAATGGAGAAAAGACAATGTTGCCAAATTTCTGGATCCGCCTCTGGAATGAATGCAACGGTTTGACAAGTAGGCGAAGCAAATGAAAGATTCAAATCGGAAAGTGACAACCAAGGGATCGTTGAAAGCTTCTGACGTGGCTGGCTGAACATTTTACATACATATACAATAGTGGCTGCGTTCACCTTCCCAAACGATTTCGGACGTATGCTTGATTCACTTCCTGCGAGTGAAAACATATCACACTCAGGGCTATAGAAAGTATTTGGGATGAAGGATCATGGGAGAAGACACATTTGGACAAAACAATTTCATGAAGTAATCATTTCAGTCGAGAGGTGGGCTGATGAAACATAACAATTTTCATGAGAAATTGTAAAAATGACATTAAACGTTTAAAAGTAATGGATGGAATGTGATGGAGTTGAAAGAAGACGAGGAGAAAGTTGCGAAGGAGGCGGATGGAAGGAGCAGACAGATGCTTGGGAGTTTATAGGCTCTTTGGTACAAAAATTTTTCACTCTCTTGATGATATTTTCTAGAAATATGTGAAACTGTAGATGATTACGAAAGTATGATTCAAAACTAAACAAAATCCATTGTCTCTCAAAGCTGGTAGAGTAATTCGTGGCAGAGACAGACATTTATACGTGGGGGGGGGGGGGGGAGGAGTCCAAAAGTAAAGAAGTCCTAAAAATTGTGAAAGTTTTGCTCGAAGGAAAATCGAAAATAAATCCCTTGAAATCCTTCTTTCCGCATTTAGTAGTTAATAGGCTGATTCACGAGAGATGTTAGTGCCTTCGGCATAACGATCATTTCAAACCGCACGAATAAAAGTTAAAATGTAAAGAATATGGTTCTTCATGAGAGAATATAACGTATTCGACTCGAACAGAAGTGTTGAGTCGGAAAAGTTGAGGGGATCATGACGGATGATGATAGCTGATGACTAAGAGGTGGGCTGATGATGTGGGAGTCGGGAGCCGACGCGGAAGGCGGAGGCCGGACGAGGTGAAGCACCCTGTACAAGCAAAAACACAAAGCGGAGTCGACGACCTCTCGAGAGGCGCACAGAGCGCCTCGCGTGAGTGACGCCACCGGCAAAAAAAAAGAAAAAAAAAAAATCGCAACTTTCTGCACAAAAAATGACACTATTCCACCAAAACGTCAGAATACGTACCTTCCAACAGCTGAAGTCGAAGAGAAAAAAGGGTCCCGTTCTTATGCGCAGCCAGATAAAGATCCAAAAATACGTCCGGGAACGATGAGATAACCACAACCGACGATGCAATTTTTTTGCATTTTCGAAAAAGCACTGCACTGGGGTCGAAACGTTCACGGACGAGGCGGTGAAAAATAAGCACTTTTTGGAGGACCGAACGAGTGTCTAATTTTATCCCGGGGAGCGAAAGTGGGAAAGAGCAGCCCGGCGGGCAGTGCAACGGGGCGACTTGGGGGCGGATTTTTGGGGGCGCTGAGGGAGGGGCGGCGAGGGTGGATGGTCCCCCGAAACGAGAGGGCCTCCCTGAGCGGTGGATGAGGCTGGATCACTTGAAAATTTTGGGGTAGGACCTGGAGCATGGTCGAAATTGAGCACGTTCTGCTAGCGAAGGATGCCACTGACCTACAATATCCGACTGACAGTTGTGGTAGGTTAGTTACACAGCGGCGCGCATGGCTTGCCGCGCAGAGCCGCGTCGGCCCGAGCCGCCGCTGGGCCCCGGCTCCGCGCACTCCGCTCGCGCATTTTCTTACGCCATCTTGCCAATTTTCCCGAAAAACTCCCTTATCCTCGGGAATAAAATAAGATGAAATCTTGGCAAAAAAATTCACACCTGAAGAGAAAATAAAATCGGCGGTTTACATCATAATTATTTTTTTTTAAACAAAAGGAAAAAGAAGAAAAAAATCTGCGTATGCCTTAGAGCAGTGACCCATGTCTTAACGTTAAAATATGCATCTAGCTAAATTAAACGCGGCATTGTTTTCAATTACCGAGGAACGCCTTATTTTCATTGACAGAAATCGAGTTTTTTTGTGTGTGTGTGTTTTTTTTTTTTTAGTTTAAAATTACTCAGATATGCAGGCATTTAATTTTAAATTCGATACAGTTTTTGCTTGCACATACTAATTTTCTCAGTCACGAGTGCCAGAAATGAGGAATGAAAATCAGTGTTGACTTTTATTACCACATACTTCAGAGTTTGTATATTAACAATGAAAAGCACAAGTCTAGGTACAACTGTTGAATACCAAATCATCGTAAAAATGAATCGGAAGATGAACATCTTTTCAAACGGACTAAAAAAGAGAAAAATACGGTTTGAGGACCAGAAAAGTAGCACAGAGAAAAGATTGCCACTGGTGAGTCCAAAGAAACCAAACCAAATCTTTAATCTAATTCGAATTAAGCCAGGAAGCTCCTCTGGCCGACAAAATTTCTCGGAATTTCTAAATTTGACAGGATTATACTCCATACATAGGTATATTCCTAATTCCCAGAGGTTATATTTCCCTTCCAAATTGTAGATAATATATTCATCAAATAATTTTCTCTTAAACAAGATACATTTCCCGGGAAAATTCCTGCTTCACATCAAGTGGAAACTCTCTCATGAGTCCAAACGAAATCGAAAAGTTCGAAATACGTAATTTTGCATTCACTCTTCCTCTCTCCTATATTGAAAAATGTTTTTCCACATCTAATTATATGAATTTTAGCATGTAAACAGGAGACTCGAAGAAGAACACCATCAAGAAACCTCACTCATTGTAGTTTGGTGGGCATTTTAAAAAGCTGTCCTGTGCTTCCTCCGATTATTAATTTTCGCCTTGCTTCGAGAGGTAGCATTGTCTAAGATGCGCGGATATTTTGCAGCTCAAGTTGGCAGCGGAGTCGAAGTGCTCAAGCTCGATAATACGAATTGTAGCTCGGTCTCTCTCGCTCTCTAGGCGTGGGGGAGGGGCCCCGGCTGGCGGAGGGAGAGGGCAGTTGGGGTAGGTCGCTGAACTCGGCGTCCCCCTTTGCCCCCCCTGGCGTCCGCCGCCTGAATGGCCCCCTCCCGGCCACTGTCGCATCCCCCCTCCCCTGCCGACGCGGGGTCTCTGGTATGTAATCGTTTAGCATAGTGTCTTTGTCCGTTATTTTTGGTATTAAGTTTAGATTTTCGAACAAATTCGCCGCCGGAAACCTGGCCTTCGTCGTCTCCCGGCTCTCCCGGCGAGATTTTGGCAGTTTGTTCCATTTTTGTCGCCGCAAATTGATGGAGAAACACCGCCCTGGGACTAATTGAATTTTCGGAATTTTTGTTCTAAATTTGCAGCGTTCCCTACAAATTCCCGAAGGGTATCAGAAAAAGCATTCGTGCTTGATGACTGGTGTCCCGAAAATGCAACCGTGAGAGCTGTGTGCGCCGACGAGCTTGCGAAAGTTTTCGTAGGAAGCGCTGTAGTGAGTAGCGACGCTCGTGAAAAAGTTCATTGAACTTTACGAGCGTGTTCGATTTGAGCGTCGGGCGGTCGGCAGTACCCGTCAACGCGAGCTTTTTAACAGCAGCTTTTTCTCTCTTTTTTTTTCACGGCAACTTTCCAATTCGATAAAAAACTACGGAATGGTTTCAAAACACTGGCGCCTACCTGGGGGCCACGCAAGCCGTGACTTTTCATTCTTAGCGCCATTTTCTGTGATATACGAAAAAAAATTGTTAAAAAGTCTGTAAAGTATAGAAACGCTGAAACTCATGAGGGATATCCGCGAAATATGCATCGTGCACTATTTTCATAAAAAGCTGAGGAGAATTGGGCAGATTTACTTAACAGCTTAGAAATATTATTATTAAAACCCAAAATACAATGAATTTTTGCGGTTTTTACAGAAACTGATACCTGTGAGAACAAAAATTGCTGAGTGTAGGATGCACTCTGGAAACTTCTGTGACGCAATAATAATAACAACTAAAAAAGTATGAAAATTTCAGACACAGTTCCGCTGCTCAATACCTCCCACACTTTGAGACTTGGCCTATTGTGGGACGAAAATAATCTAACAATAAAAATACACAGGCCTGACTTACGTTTTGATTTCACTTCTTGGGTAGTAACGGAGTAATAAATGTAATTGAGCCATATGAAGTCCAACGAAAGTTCATTTAAGTCAAATTAAATTTTAAAGAAGAGGGCAGGCGAGATGAGGGCGTTTCAACTGTTTAAAAATATGAAAGAGAGACGAGGACGAAAGGACAGACTGCAAAAAAAGTTTCATTTCCTTACAAATTTCGTATTCTAACTTAACATCTCTGCACTGGAAAAAAAATCGCTTGGATCTAGACTCCAGACTCTTGAAAACATTGACTAGAAAAAGGACTCTTGATTCAATCGGCTTTTTGCTTGAATCAAAAGGAACTCCGTTTAAATTAAGAGAGACTTGGTTCTCGACTTAAGCAAAAGTCCGATAGAATCAAGAGTATTTTTTCTTGTCGATGTTTTTATGAGTCTGGACTCTAGATCCAATGTGTTTTTTTTCCAGTGTGCTAAGGAGGAAGCTTTTCCTATATCAAAAGGGAAAAATTAAGATGAAACATTAATGAACCATTGATTTCCTATGAATAAGTCAGCTGTTATGAAGTTCGCAAAATTATTGGGCATGCTCACATGAAAGTTATTCATAATTTATTTTTGCCCCCTCCCCCTCCCCCATCACTGATCTCGCAGGAGAGTCCGCAGATAAAAACTTCAAATTACAAGTTCAGTGCAAAGTAACGCGCATCAGTGTGCGTCTTCGCCGTTACGTGTTTTGAGTTGAAGGCGTCCTCAACGACCGCAACCACATTGGAAAGTTTTTGAAAGTTGCACTTTCCTCGGAAGCACGGCGACTTTGCTCGAAAACAGTTCAACGAACTCCGCCGCCAGCGCATTGTACGTTCGATTCTTATTCCAGACAGAATTGGCAGTGCCGAGGGGAGGAATTAGTGGGTCATGCACCCCTTTGTATCCGTTTTTGCGCACATTTTATGATAACGCGGGGCTGCTCTGAAACCCTCGCTACCCTCCGGCTCAGCGCGGAAAGGTGTGAGCACTGAGCAGCTTCATGCTCTCACCTCCCGATTGCGAAAGTGTACTTTCAGAGCTTCCTCTTCTTCTCCTACCGTTCGACTGGGGACGTTTCGCTCGTACCGTTCCTTTGTCACCGTCAGGACCCTCTGACATAATACTTCGTCACCTTGCGGCCAAAGTATCACAAGCGCCATGCGACGTTTAAAAATTTCTGCCGCCATTTTATTTTTTTTTTTTTTTCAGGGAAATTGTTGGTTGAATCTGTTTGAAAATTTCACTGAATTTTATCGGCAGCACAAAGAAAATTCAGTGTTTGCGGATGGCTTCATTGAGCAATTTCTCCGTAAAAAATAAAGTGGCGGCTGAAATTGTTAAATGTCGCATGGCGTTGGTGATATACTTTTGGCCGGAAGGCGATCTCATTTTATCACAAGTCATCACCTTCTGGCCAAAGTATAACAAGCGCCATGCGACGTTTAAAAATTTCCGCCGCTATTTTATTTTTTTACAGAGAAATTGTTGGTTGAATCGTTTGAAAATTTTACTGAATTTTATCGGCAGCGCGAAGAAAATTCAGTGCAATTTTCGGATGGCTTCGTCGAGCAATTTCTCTGTAAAAAATGAAGTGGCGGCTGAAACTTTTAAATGTCGCATGGCGCTTGTGATACTTTGGCCGGAAGGTGACGACTTGTGATAGAATGAGGGGCTTGGAGGACAAGGCGCATAAGTGCAGTTTTTGCTGTTTCGAGAAATACGTGTTTGAAGCTTCGAAATTACATGGGTCCTCAAGGCGGCGAGAAAGGTCAAACTGACTTTATGATACTTAAAAATTTGAATTTGGAAGCGAATTTTTCAAATAATACGCTTTAAGACCAGTGCTACTCAAATACTGCGCCTCGTCCTCTAAGCTCCTCAGATCTGGAAGTGGGCACATTGCGTCAAATTGTTTGAAATTTAGTTTTTGGCATATTTATGAACGAAATTTCCACGGTATATATGAACGACGTTTTTGAAAAAAAAGGGAAAATGAATAAATATAGGGAAAAAAATCAGTATGCAGATTGCTGCCTTAATTTTCGCATGTTCCTCAACCACTTTATCAGTTTTTAACAGAGCTCCACACTACAAATTTTCATGGTTTTGAACACATTTAAGCAAGTGATGCAGCGTGTTTTTTTGTTTTTGCGGATTTAAACTCACTATTCAAATACCCTCTCCCGAATTACTCAGCGTTATTACTAATGAAAAAGTTAGTTTTTTTTATTTCATTTTTAATTCATGTTGTACTACTTGTGTACTCATCTGTCACTTGCTTTACATTTAACCAGAACTTAGTACTATAAGATCGATTTTTTTCGTAAAAAATACTGAGAGTAGACGATCCAGCTAATGGTAATTTCAGCAGTTAAAATATTAATTGCATTAATCCAAATTTTTCCTATTCCAGTTCCTTGCTTGCTGTGAATTAGTAATACCTCGCCTCCCTCGCAGTTTTGTTTTTTTCTCTCCGTTGCGCCGGTCCCTCGCTGTTTACCTCCCGTCCTGCCCTCCCTTCATACCTTCCGCTCAAAAACTTCTATTTCTATTCCCCGGAAAGAGTTTTCAACTTTAAAAATTTATTTGACAGGCTTGAAAGTTACGCGACTGTCCGGACTAGTTACGAGGAAGCGAAAATCGATTTATTTGTAAACTACCCTGCGTCTATGAG